GTTCCAAGGAGGAAAGACTGCCGAGCGGTCGGCCTGGAGGAGGGACGGTGGTGGCCCGGGACACGTGAGTCCGCTCGAGCTGCTCTGCAAGCCAGCCGCCGCTGCAGGCTCCAGGAGAGCCAGGACCCTAGGCTTCAGCCACTTCCGCTTGGTTTTGCCCTGACTGGGCCCTGGTGCCCTCCCGACCCAGGCCAACCCTGGCGGCCTACACATCTCTGCTCTCCCGGCCTTTCTCCTCCTCCTCTTCCTCCTCCACCTCCTCCAAAGTGCAGCCCCCAGCCCCTCAATTGGGCCGTGAGGGGAGTCCAGCACCTCTTTTTTCCCTCACCCCCCTGGGCAGCCTTTACTCGGAGCACCCCAACACAGATCCATGCCATCACGTGGGCTTCCCTCCCACCCTGTTTCCTCTGCCATGCCCCAGTAAGGATCCGGGCACAGAGGGCAGAGGTATTCCTGAACCAAGGAGCCAGGGTCAAGCCACCTGCCCCACAGCCGCGGCATTTCCTGCCTGCCAGTTCCTCTCTGGACCAGGACTCCTTGTGCTCTCCTTGTCCCTGGAAGGCACTCCCCACTCTAGAAAGCACTTTTGTGGGTCTCCTGTCCCCCAGACGTCCCTGCTGCAGACAGGTATGTGGAATTCCTTAAATTTTAGTGATCCAAGTTACCCATTGGATTTGGGGGGGGGGGGTGTTCAAGGAAGGAGACAGCCAGGCGAGCTGGAACAGGAACGTGGGCAGCTTAGCTGGTACAGTACCTGGATCCTACTGTCTCTAGCTCTCCCTCTGCTCCTTGTGTAACCATTCTGCTGCCTTCCTCTCCTCCTGCTTCAGGGAAGGCCACACTGCCTTCAGTGAGGGGAACGGACTAGACCCTGGGTTTTCTCTGGTCTTTGGGCGGCATTCAGCAAAATGGCACTGGCCTATTTCTGCAGTATTTCTACTTTGCCAAGGGAGGTGCCCAGGGAAACCTTGGGGCAAAGAAGTCAGAGAAAAAAACCAATCTACTCTTTCTCCCACTTTCCCCTTATTGTTCTTCTTCGTCTTCTTTTTAGCTCCAAATGGCCTCACAAGGAGGAGGTTTGCATCTCTCCCCTATTTGACCGCCCTCCCCTGCTGACTCTTGGCAACCCCCTTTGCTGGTTGTCACACACAACCCTCCACCCTTCAGGCCTGCCCTGTCCCTTTGGAGGAAGAGTAGCCGGAGAGGCCCAGAAGCTTTACTGAGCATCCCGTGACCCCAACGCTCTGAATACAGGAGCAGAGGCCAAGCCACGTGCTACCTGGAGGCCAGGACATGTGCTGGTACAGGGCAATCATGCACAGAAGACCCTGGGCTCTGTTCCGCACGTGGGATCTTGGAGAGGGGACCTCTGCGTCCAGAACTACTCTGGAGTCTCTACGTGCCTCTGGGTGCTCTCACCTGTGGCTCTCCAAAGTAAGGCCTACAGCTTTGGGTTGTCACAACAGGCAGTTAATCCCAAGCCCCAATCCTGAGTGCCTGCTTCTCCACCTGGGCAACCAGGGTGTGGAAGGAAGCCTGAAGACGTAAGAGTACGAGTTCAGGGTTTATTGGATGATGTGCGTTATCAGGAGTCCCCTGCGTATGTGACCCACACGGCCCACTGGCTGTCTCTGAAGGTCCTTGTGGCTTCTGCCGATGGTGGTCAGGGCATGGGAAGGCATGCCTTTCAGTTCCCCAGACGAGGCCAACTGGACTGGCTGCACGGTGACTTTGGGGCCTCTGACAAAGGCTGGAGAGCTGGAGGGACACAGAACACACAGGGCCAGCTAGAGGGACCCATCAAGCAAAGTGGTGGAGGGATGCGTGGGCTGGCAAGGCGATGGCCGCGATCAGCCATTGCAGGCTTAAGAGGCCTTGTCCAAGAGTGGAGAAGAGGCCAGGGAGGCACAGAGAATGAGGCCATCTTGGCATGTTACGTTTCGAGAAGGTCTGAGGAGAAAGAAGGCTGAGGCATCAAGATCATGCATGAAGTGTGAGTCAGAGGCTGCACAGTGGAGGGGTCCCCAGAGTTCTCTTTCTTTCTCTTTGGGTGTGTGCTCGTACGAAGGGGAGAGGCCCACATCTCTGGCATCTCTGAGGCTGTGGCCCATTTTTGCCTTGAGGACCCCGATGTGGTGACACCTCTTAGACCCTGAGGCCAGGCCACAGGGAGGACATTTGTGCCTGGGATTCGGGGGGCGGAAAGCCCAATGCCACCATCCCTCCCAGTCTTGAGGCCCTGGGCCCAGAGACGCTGGCTCGTCCTCGTACGCCCCAGCCCCAGAGCAAATGGGGAGCTGTGCACAGCGAGCCCACCCACCAGGCCCCTCACACGAGTCCAGGGGAAACCGGCGGCGCTCCCCAGGCCGGCTTCCATGGTTGGCTCCCGGTCTGCTCACACCCCCAGAGGGCCCACTCATTCTCTCCCCCTCCCGAGCCCGGGGCCTTCTCACTCACCAGCCTGTTTACACACCAGATATCTCAGGCTTTATCTGCTCTCATTCTGAATTTGTAACTTTCACATAAACTTGAACAAAGCTCCTTTTGTTCCTGCACCCCACCCCAGGATCCCAATAAACTGGTTCCCTCTGAGGCGACTGGGCCAGGGCACAGAAGCCTTGGCCAAAGGAGTGTGTGTGCATGTGAATAAGCATGTTCGCACCTGCGAGGGAGTCCGTGTGTTTGCGTGTGAGTGTGCTCCTCAGGCTGAGGGAGGGAGGGCTGTCCGGGTGAACGTCGAGTGCGCACAGTGCGGACAGGAAGCGCCGGGGCATGGGGACGGGACCGTCTGCCAGGGCACGAGGAGTCGCGGGCCGTGGACAGGCGGGTGTCGGGGCAGGGGGCAGACAGGGACAGAGAGGAGCAGTGGGGTGGGTGGGGGAGCGCACGGCTGAGGCCAGGCTTAAGCTAAGTAGAAGGCAGATACAGGGATCGCATTATGGCGGTATAGAGGCTGGCACAACCACACGCCCGGCCCCGTAATCCTGTTAGCCAGCAATCTCCATTCCGAAAGAGCTTCATTTCTTTGTGAATATTTGTAAACTAGATATCTAATGGAAAATTATAGGAAAATTATAGTGAAATTCATGACGGAGAAATCCGATTATCCCTAATTCAATTATGCCATCTTAGCCCACACAGCACATTTCCCATTTTTTTCCCATAAATACCGATGCCAGGGGTCCCGGTAATCAAATAAAATTGAAAATCATCTTCCCATTAAATTCAATTAGCCGCAATTTCTAAAGCCTATCAGAGATTTTAATTACTAAATTATAAAATTCTCCAATGCTAAATTGAAACCAAAAAAATTGCACATCCTTATATTTCAGAGAAAAAAAAAAAAAG